GCCAGCATGCTCACCCACCCCCTCTCTCATCGTCTCCCCCACCCAGCACGGCAGCTGAAGGTGCTACGGCCTCTGGAAGACGTGAGCATCACTGAGGGTGGCAGTGCCACCTTCCAGCTGGAGCTGTCCCAGGACGGTGTGGCCGGGGAGTGGGCCCGGGGCGGGGTCCGGCTGCAGCCGGGACCTGGGTGCCACATTCACGTGGAGGGCCGCACTCACCGCCTGGTGCTCAGGGACCTGGGCCCGGCCGACTCAGGCTGCATCTCCTTCACCACGGACTCCCTGCGCTCTGCCGCGAGACTCACAGTGCGAGGTGCGGCCAGGAGCCCTACCTGCCTGCTGGCTGCCCTCGGAGTGGCCCGTGTGTCCCTCACTCACCAGGCCTGCCTGTTTCTGTGTGCTGCCCACTGACACCCTCCCCTCAGGTCCTGTGTGCCCCCCCACCAGCTCCTTTGTCCCACGGGGTTTCTTGGAAGCCCACCTGATGAGACACAGGGTCCCCATTGTCTGCCAAAGCTTACGTGGGGTGTGACCTCATTGACTGCTGTGTGGACCTCTCCCCTTACTGTCTGATTGCTCAGGGCCCACAGCCCACTAACTGCTGCTCCTGCCTGATGTGTCCCCCACTGACCAGACACAGACAAGTTCTCCCGTGTGATGCCCCCCCCATCACTCTCTGAGTCCACCGTGTTCCTCAAGCAACGTGCCATTCCAACATGCCATGGACTGCAACTTCCCCGTGGCCTCCTAAGTCCCCATGATGCCCCCCCCACTGACCAGCACACTCCTGGGACACTTGTCACTGCCCAAGCCCCACTTCTCCATGGCTTCTGCTGGTCACCGAGACTAAATGTGACAGCCATTGGTTCCCTTTGTCCCCTGGTGTGTTCTTGTTCCTGCCCTGCCCCTGCTTCACTGGACACTGACCTCCACTGCCACTCCCAGAGGCCCCAGTGACCATTGTGCGGGGGCCACAGAACATGGAGGTGACCGAGGGTGACACAGCGACGTTCGAGTGCGAGCTTTCTCAGGCCTTGGCCGATGTCACCTGGGAGAAGGTCAGAGCCCAGCCCCCTGCCAGGACCACCTTGGTCTAACAATCCCCCCAAATCGGGGGAAAACTAACGCTGAGCCACGTGAGTGCCTGTGCCACCATCTACTTGACACTTAACCCTTTAATCCTCACCACCCTCCATGAGAACGGTCTGGGTGGGGGGAGGTGCTGAAGGGGTGTGGGGCACAAGTGTACTTTAGAGCCGAAAGTCATCCAGGTCTACCCACCTGGACCCGCTCTGGCCCCGCCCCCAGTTCAGGTATGCTCCGCCCACTAATAATAAGTCACGCCCAGGACGTGTGATTCCCTTACTCCCTTACTCTGGGCCGCCCAGGTGCGTCCGTGGCACTCTCTCTGTGGGTCCTTACTTTCCCCATAGGGTGACAGCTTTTCCTTAGGGCCCCTATTGCAGGATGGAGAGGGGAGGCTGTCACCGACCAGCAAGAAAGGCAGCAGGAGGGCTCAGACAGAGCCCGTAGGGAATCAACAGAGAGCGTTGTGACTCGAGTTAACCCTCCGCCACCTCTGCCCCTAGGACGGGCACCCACTCACCCCCAGCCCTCGGCTCAAGCTCCAGGCCCTGGGCGCGCTCCGCCTTCTCCAGCTCCGGCGCTGCGGCCCCTTGGACGCCGGGACCTACAGCTGCGCGGTGGGGACGGTCCGCGCCGGGCCGGTGCGCCTGACTGTGAACGGTGGGTACGGGGCGAAACCGGGCAGGGGCACGGGCGGGGACGCGGAGTGGACACTCCCCGGGACGAGGTCGGGGTGCTCCTAAGCAGAGGGGCGAGGCGAGGGCCAAGCTGAGCACAGCCTCACGCCCCCCACCCCCACCCCCACCCCCGGCTCCGCCGCAGAACGCAGGGTGTCGGTGCTCTCGGAGCTGGAGCCGGTGCGCGCCCGCGAAGGTGAGAGCGCCACGTTCGAGTGCACCGTGTCGGAGATCGATACCGCCCGGAGCTGGACGCTAGGAGGCCGCCCGCTGAGACCAGGAGGCCGGGTCCGCATCCGTCAGGAAGGTCTGACTGGCTTGGCACGGCCTCGAGCCCGCTGCCGCCCCGCCCCCGGCTCAGTAGGCCCCGCCCTTAATAGCCCGCCCCTCGCGTTAGGCTCCGCCCTCCGTAGCCCCTCCCATGCAGTTAGGCCACGCCCCCATCAATAGACCCTCCCCGGTCGTTAGGCCTCGCCCCTTTCAACAGACTCCGCCCCAGTGGTTAGGCTCCGCCCCTCTCAGTAGTCCCCGTCGCCCCGCTCGTTAGACCTCTCCCGGGTCCTTAGGCACCCCGCCCCTGCAGTTAGCCCCCGCCCTCTCAAGACTCCGCCCCCGCTCGTTAGGCATCCCTCAGCAGACCCCGCCCCTGTCACTTGTCCCCGCCCCCTTTGTTAGGCTCCGCCCGACTAAATAGGCCCCGCCTCCTGCTCAAATGGGCGGCCCTAGGAAGCGACTCTGTCCTTCCCCGGCCCCAGCGCTGACCCTCAGTCCGTCCGAGGCGGCTCTTCCACCCCACTGGAACCCGATTCCGCCCCTCCGAGCCGACCCGGGGCCCCACCCCCCTGCCCGAACCCTCCCCGGACGCGGATCCGACCTCCTCGCTCGCGCCCCTTTCTCCGCCAGGGAAGAAACATATCCTGGTGCTGAGCGAGCTGCGCCCGGAGGACTCCGGAGAGGTCCGCTTCCAGGCGGGTCCCGCCCAGTCCGCGGCTCAGCTGGAGGTGGAGGGTAAGTGGGCGGGCGTGGGCAGCCAGCCGGCGGCGGGCATCACTCTCCCTTCGGGCTGGCCCTCGGCACGCCTTCTTCCCCCTCTCCTCCTGGAGGCGCTCCCCCAGAACGGGTCGCGGAGGGCAGTGCGTTTCCCGGGGAAGCGGAGACTTTGGAGTGAGGGGGTAGGGGTCCAGAGGAATGTTTTGGGGAGTGCCTAAGAGTGGAGGTCGCAGCACGGAGGGAGATGCGTTCCCTCCTCCGGGCCGCGGGAGTGGGGGGCCGCGGGAGTGGGGGGCGTTGCCTTGTATGGTTCACTGAAGCCCTCGCCCTCCACCCCCCAGCACTGCCTCTCCAGATGTGCCGCCGTCCCCCTCGCGAGAAGTCGGTCCTGGCCGGCCGCCGGGCGGTGCTGGAGGTGACCGTGTCCCGCTCCGGAGGCCAAGTGTGCTGGTTGCGGGAGGGGCTTGAGCTGTGCCCAGGAGACAAGTATGAGCTGCGCAGCCACGGCCCCACCCACAGCCTGGTCATCCATGACGTGCGACCTGAGGACCAGGGCACCTACTGCTGCCAGGCAGGTCAGGACAGCGCCCAAACGCGCCTGCTGGTAGAGGGTGAGTAAAGGTGACGATTGGGATAAGACGTTCCCGGGGTGGAGGGGTGGGAGAGCCGGCAGGCTGGCCAGACAGGAGGGGTCGCTTAGGCACTGGTCGGTTGGGCTGGGCTAACACACCTGCTGGAGGTTTCCAGGGTTTGGGATGACAAGTTGGTTCTGGGATGCTGTGGGTAGCTGGCCTCACCCCATCCTATCCCAGCCAGCAGGAGACCACACTTGGCCCTCCTGAATGTCCCATTTGCACCCGAGCCCCTCTCTTCCCACCATCCCCCACCTCTTCCCAAAGCTCTTCCACACGCCCCCTCACCTCTCTGCTCCTGCTTTCTGCCCTGCTGAACGTGCCCATCTCAGACGGTCCACGCCAGGCCTCACCCCTAAGCGAGTACTTCTCTCTTCCTCATGGTAGATGCCCACCCCCAGCCCTGAATGCCAGCGTGGCCCTACCTCTACCTCATGATCCCCTCTGCCTGCCCTCCCAGTCGGCCCTGCCAGAGCTGCAGAGGGGGACGGTGGCCTGGTCCTTCCTGAGTGGAGGCCAGCTCTGCCAGGGGAGAGGGCGGTGCTGCCCGCCTCTGCCCAGCCCCACGCAGAGTCATTCCTCTGCAGGCTGCTAGAAGGAGCGAGTCCGGCCAGGCGGATCCCTTGGGCAGCTTGGAAGGCGCTTGTCCTCCCCCGCCTCCCCCCCCCCCCCTACAGGGACAGGGGGAGGGGCAGGGGAGAAGATGGAGGTGCTGGGAGACAATAAAAGTGGTGCTGCCTCTCCCCTGGCTCTGTGTGAGTGACGCGGGCAGGTACAGCCTGCCTGGAGCCCCCTCCCCCCCCAGGTAGCAAGCGACCCAGGGGACCAAGGTCATCAGAGCTTGGCCCACGGAAGTGCCAACCCCCAAAGACCACCACTCCGGGCCACAGTTTGGCACATTTATAAAAGATGTAAAACAGATCCAGGGGTGGGAAGGGGAAGGAGACAGAAGCATGAGGTGTCCAGGCCAGCAGGACGGACACCCGACATGCACGTGCACTTGGGCTCCCACCAGCCCCCGCCCCCTGCCCCAACCCATCCTACAGCCGAAGCCGCCCCCTCCCGCCCCTCCCCCTCCACCCCTGCCACTGCCTGCAGGCGGGTGGCTTCACGAGGCCAGGGGACCACTGGGGCGAGGGCTGCGGCCTTTGTCCCCGGGATATGATGGGTCTGGGGGCAATGCCAGGGGAGGAAGGCAGAGCCTTACCATGCAAGAGCGGGGCCCCGGGGAGACCCCAGCAGTGCAAGAGGGGGGGAGGCCAGCCTCGGAGAAGCCCTACCCATTAGCAACCTAAGGCAAGGGTCCCACTGACCCCTCCAAGACGCCCTCCTCATACACACGCACACACAGGTGACACAGTCATAACCCTGAGCTCACCCCCCCACCACACACACACACACACACACACACACAAACACACTCGAGGCGCTGGGGAGGGGGCTTGCCCGGCAGGTCAGGCTGAGCCAGACACAGGTCCTCCCTTCCTGTGGCCTGGCTGCCCCCACCAGGGCAGGGAGAGGGACAGCCGAGGGCCGTAGGACCCGACAAGTCCTTCCCAAGCTGGCAGCGCTGGTGTCCACGAGGTCCAGGCAGGCAGAAGCCGCCACCAGCCGGCTATACCCGGACTGGTGGCCCCGAGCATGCGGTCAGCGGCCCCCGGGACCCGTACTCGTAGTCCGCCTCTGTGGGCGAGGCCATGAAGGAGCTCAGGGAACTGCCTGTCTGCCGGTCCCGGAAGCTCTGGATGTAGCTCTGTGGGAGAGGAATGGGTGAGAGAGAGTCACTGCCGGCTGGCCTGAGACGTGCCCCCCTCTACTGCAGCCAGGCCCTCCTTGTGCCCAAGTGCCTGCCGCACAATTTAAAAATCCTGCTCAGGGGGCTGGAGCGATCGCACAGTGGGTAGGGCATTTGCCTTGCACGAAGCCAACCTGGGTTCGATTCCCAGCATCCCATATGGTCCCCTGAGCACTGCACAGTGTACAGTGCTGCACTCAGGAATTAGCAGGAGTAATTGCACTGCAGCACTGTCCTCCCGTTGCTCATCGATTTGCTCGAGCGGGCCCAGTAACGTCTCCATTGTGAGACTTGTTGTTACTGTGTTTGGCCTATCGAATATGTCATGAGGAGCTTGCCAGGCTTTACCGTGCAGGCAAGATACTCTCGGTAGCTTGCCGGGCTCTCCGAGAGGGGCAGAGGAATTGAACTCGGGTCAGCTGGGCCGGCTGCGTGCAAGGCAAATGCCCTACCCACTGCGCTATCACTCCAGCCAGGAGTAACCTCTGAGCATTGCCGGGTGTGCCCCAAAAAATCCTGCTTGGGGCAGGAGCCATAGTTTAGCTGGGAGGGAACCTGTCTTATAACATGCAGCCAACCCAGGTTCAATCCCCGGCACCCCAGAGGGGCCCCTGGACTGCACCAGGAGGAATCCCTGAGCCCAGAGCCAAGAATCAGCCCTGAGCTCAGTCAGGTGTGGCCCCAAAACAAAAGAAACAAAGGAAAAAAAAAACTCCTGCTCAGGCACCAGGGCATAGCAGTAGCCTCATCAGCACCCAGCTTGGTCGGTGTGGCACCACACAGTCACCCAGGGGCAACAGCTGCTGGGGACAGCACTGGTTGGCCACCCACTGGGGTGGCCCTGAGTGCCCCTGAGCACTGCTGGAGGTGGTCCCGTAGCCCCTCCGCCTTGAGCCCTCACATTCAACCAAACTGACTTGGCTGGCCAAGGACTGCCCGGCGTGGCCCCTGGAGCCCTCAGCCCCGCCTGGGAGACCTCCCCAAAGGTTCTACTGGGAACCACCCTTGCTCCCGATCCCAGAGCCAAGACACCAGCCTCCTAATTAGGGGGTTTACTGTGGGTCAACAAATACCTGGGAGACCAACCCCCCAGGAAGGACCCATTCTGCTAGGGTCAGTCCCTGGCACCCCCTCGGAACCCCACATTTGCAGGGCTGCAGGGCTCAGGGCACTCACCGGGGAGAGGACATCTCCATTGAAGCGTTTGATGGGCACTGGCCTGCGCCGGTACGCAGGGTCCGGGGGACCAGGCCTCGGAGGAGCCCGGGTGCCTCTGGAGGGAGCCCGGGGAGGTCTCTTCCGCCGCCGCTTCTCCTTGCGCTCCTCCTGCTGCCGAATCCGCATCAGCTGCACCCGCCGCCGCTGCCGGCTGATGACCACTGGGAAGGGAGGGACAGAGCAGGGCCTCAGAGGACCCCGGGCTTCCCCTAGTCCCCCTGCCCGGCACTCCAGGCCCCCAAGCCCTCCTGTCTGCAACTTGCCCTTGCCTGCTCTCCAGCCTCTCAGAACTGCCCAGGGGTCTTCAGAAGATGCCCATGAGTCTGGCTCCCTGACCAGCTGTAGGCTCTCTCCCAGTCCTAGGCTCTGGGGGACCCACCAAGAGAGAGAGAGGCTGCCGCGTTCCTGCAGGATGCCCTATGGCACCTCCCTGCTCCCTACTTCCATAGACATTAGGGCTAATGAGATTCCTTCCCCTCCCAAGGGCATCTCACTGCCTCGCTGTGTAGACACCCCAAAGGGTGGAGCACAAACCTTTTACTTGTTTGTTTGGGGGTCGCCCCTGGCGATGCGCAGGGGTTACTCTGGCTCTGTGCTCAGGAATCACTCCTGGTGTGCTCAGGGGACCATATGGGGTGCCGGGGATGGAACCCAGGTCGGCCACATGCAAGGCAAGTGAAGCATAAACTTTGCCCGCAGGTGGCCTGACTTCGATCCCTGGTGCTGCATGCTTGCCCCAAGCACTCCCAGGAGTGGCCCCCCAAACACTGCATCAGGAGTAACCATTGGGTGTGTCCCCCCCCCTCTGATTTTCCCTAGCCTTTTTCCTCTCCTGGGTTTTGGTGGGTTTTGTTTTTGTTTGTTTTTGGTTTTTTTGGGGTTTTTGTTGCTTTTTGGGTCACACCCAGCGATGCACAGGGGTTACTCCTGGCTTTGCACTCAGGAATTACACCGCCAGTGCTCTGGGGACCATATGGGATGCTGGGAATCGAACCTGGGTCAGCCGCATGCAAGGCAAATGCCCTACCCACTGTGCTATCGCTCCAGCCCGCTCTCCTGGGTTTTGCCCCTCATATGTGCCCACACACTCCAGCTCAAGCCCAGGTCCTTGTTTCCGGGGCTTTCCACCCTGCTCTGTGCACCGGCCTGGATCCTTCCATCCCTCTTCTCTCCCTTCACAGCACCCCTTCCCTCTGATCACCCTGACACTCACTGAGCCCTTGCACGTCTCTTTCCCAAGCTCTGCACCGTGGAAACCATCAGGTCTGTTTGCGCGTCTAGTGTCTGCCCCCAAAGGCGAGGGCCCCCTCCCTGTGTCGTCCCTGCTGTCTCCCAGCAATTGTCCCCCAGAGCTGAGCTGGACTGGATGGTGGCCCCCGGAGCCAACCACTTGCTTCCCTTCCACCCCCAGTGATCTGTCTGAGCCTACAGAGGTCACCAGCTGCTGGCACGGCCCCCTCCCTGCCGCCCCCGGCCCCGCGGCGCACGCGCTCACCTTCCGTGTGGGAGTCCCGCTCGGTGGTCACCCGCCACTGCACCAGGACGCCCATCAGGCTGAGCAGCGGCCAGAGGGCCAGCAGGGCCCAGCTGCGCCAGCAGAGGTGGGGGACGGGGGCCGCGCGCAGCCGCTCCACCGCGTAGCGACCCAGCAGCAGCAGCTCGGCAAAGTAGTCCGCGGCGGTGGCGATGAGCGCGGCGCCGGTGACCGCCGTGGCCAGCGTGGTGAGCGGGCGGGGCCAGCGCAGCGTGAGCAGGGCGCACAGCAGGCCGCCCCCCAGCAGCAGCCCCAGGGGGCCCCACACGGAGCCCGGCTGGTAGTAGGGCGCCGAGCCCAGCAGGGCCGCCGAGGCCAGCAGCAACCCCAAGAGCAGCCCCACCAGGAAGAGGCCCACGCTGCGCACCAGCATGGCCACCAGCCCGCACAGCAGCCCGATGCCCAGCGCGATGCCCGCGCTCGCCCCGGCGCTCAGCTGCGTCTCCAGCACCCGCTCTCGGTAGCACAGCAGGAAGATGATCACGGAGCCGAAGAGCAAGCCCGTGAGGAAGAGCACCGCCTTGAAGCAGCGGTAACCTGCAGGGGAAGGGGGCCGAGAGGAGATGCCTTAGGCTGGGGCCCGGGGCATGGCACTGGGCTTAAGGCACTGGCCTTACCTGCAGCCAACAACCCCGGCACAATCCTCGGTGCCATTCAGGACACCAGGGTGATCCCTGAGCATAGAACCAGGAGCAAGCCCCGAGCTCGGCTAGATGTGGCCTCCCCCCCCCCAAAAAAAATAAAACCAGGGGCCTGAGAGATGGTACAGTGGACAGCGCACTTGCCTTGCACGCAGCTGATCTGGGCTCAATTCCTGGCACCCCATATGAGCACAGCTAGGATTGATCCCCTAAGCACAAAGTCCGGAGAAAGATCTGAATGGCTGGAGCAATAGCACAGCAGATAGGGCATTTGACTTGCACGTGGTCAACCCCAGTTCGATTCCCAGCATCCCATATGGTCCCCTGAACACGAGTAATTTTTTGAGTGCAGAGCCAGGAGTAACCCCTGTGCATCGCCGGGTGTGACCCAAAAAGAAAAATAAACGAGAGAGAGAGAGAGAGAGCGAGAAAGCGCTGAACAATGCCGGGTGTGGCCCCCAAATCAAACCAGACCAAATGAAAACCAAAGGCAGTCAGCAGCAAGAGGCCATGGTTGCAGGGGTCTGGAAAGACTGGCAGAAATGGGAAGGGTACTGGATTAGATAGAGCCCTGGTAGGTGATCAGGGTCCCAAGGCCCTTGATGATGGTGTCACTGGGGTGGGAGAAGGTTCGAGAATGGCACTCAGGCCATGGCAGAACAGCCATGGAGGGGAGCATTAGTCCTTAAAGGCCAGGGTAATCAGGGGGACTTGTGGTATCGAGAGAGATCCGTGACCAGGACATTGGGTCTTTGGGGTTATTACACGGGGGTCCGATAGACACTGGGGTGATATGGGCAGCAGAACAGAAGTCCCTAGGGTCCAAGGACAGATAAGGTGTTTGGACATCAGAAAGAACCTAAGAGATGAGGGCCACACAGGTTCAGTTTAAGGAAACCCAGGGCTTCTAATATAGAGCACATATAGGGGCTGGAGTGACAGTACAGGGGGTAGGGCTCTTGCTTTGCACCTGGCCAACCCGGGTTCCATCCCTGCACCCCCATATGGTCCCCCTATACCTGCCAGGAGTGATCCCTGAGCATAGAGCCAGGAGTCAGTCCCGAACACTGCTGGGTATGGCCCAAAAACAAAATACATGGCATCATTATAGGGGCCCCCAGCAGACAGAAGTCAGGTTGGGGAGCAGGGTTGAGGGTGAAGTCAGGGGCATTGACAGGAACAGAATCGCTGAGAGGCCTGAGCAATAGTACAGTGGGTACTGCATTTGCCTTTTACATGGCCAACCTGGGTTTGATCCCCAGCATCCCATATGGTCCCTGAATACAGAGCCAGGAGTGGTCCCTGAGCATTGCGAGATGTGCCACCCCCTGCCCTCAACGCAGAGCCAATGAGAGCATTAATGGACTTCTTAGAGAAGGTACCACTGAGGTCATAAAAACAGGACCACTGAGATCAGGGTTGGGGAGAGGCTCACAGGACAGTGAGGCCATAGGGACTGGAGTTCAAGCAAACAGGGATCAAAAATAGGAGTAAGAAGGCTGGGGAGAAACTTGCCTTACATGTGGTCCACCCCAGTTGAGTCCCTGGTACCACTCAGGGTCCCTCAGCATCACCAGGAAACACTCCTGAGCATCTGCTGGATGTGAGCCAAAAACCCACCCCTCTTCTCCAACCCCCATCCCTCCAGAAAAAGAAGAGCTCCCATCCCAGGGGTGAGGGCAAACATCAAAAAGCTTCTGGCGTCAGGAAGAGGAGTAAGGCCTGCACGAGGGTGCATGGGGACTCGGGGGTCTCTGAGCCTGGGCATGGGGCAGCCCAGAGGGCGGCTGGAAAGCAAAGGAGAGAGTGCAGGGCTGCACTGAGCCACTGCAGAGCCACTGGCCACAGAGGACAGAGAAGCAGAGAGGCAGACACGCGCTGCTCAGAGGCCCTGAGTGTGTGCCGAACCCTGCCAGGGGCACCCCCGCCTGCCTGCCCACTCTTCAGTTACTCAGCCCAGAGTTCGGGGGCGGGAGGGGAGGCGCTGTCTGGCTCCCATCCCAGCCACCCAGGGAAAGAGCAGAGGCCACGGAGCTCCAAGTCTCCAGCCAGATTCCAGCCAGCCTTCCCGGACTCATCGGGCTTTCTGTAGAGACCCCCATCCACAGAGCGAGGGCACTACCCCTTCTCTGACATTCTGCAGGTCTGGCAGTGCCTGGACACTTCCTTCCTTCCCTCGCCCGTCCTCTGTGGATCAGAGACTGGGTTTCAGCCACCCCCCCCCACCCCCCCTGCCTCGCCTATTCAGCTGTGCAGTAACCACCCCCCTTCCAGCCATTCACAGCAGCCCTCACTGATGCCTGCCTGGGAGGCAATGTCTGCGGGTGGCACTGCCTTCTAACCCACTCGAACTTGTCTCACATGCCCAGACCCGGCAGTCACTCCCCACTCCCACTGCAGACAATATGCCCTCTGGTGGGGGCCGGGTGGGGGGGCGGCAGGACACGAAATGTTTTCAGCGCCAACTTAGCACAGTGATTCAAATGAGTCTTCACCACTGTGGCTGATGTGGCCTGGATGCCCCTGCAATTGTCACCCACCTACGTGAGACAGAGACCATCATCCCACTGTTGGGAAGAGAAAACTGGGGGGTTCAGACGGGTGGCTGTGTCCCGGACATCACCGCTACTGAGGGGCAGAGCTAGGTCCCAAGTCTCGCTTGCCTTATATAAACACCTGTGATCTCTGGTTCTCGAGTCTGGGTCATCTGTGACCATGTGTGGGATGGACAAGAGACAGAAAAGAGAGTCAGCGGTGCGTTCTGGAGATCTGGGGGGCTGCCCCTGAGACATAAGCCAGGGAACGAGTGGGGTTCCCAGGTGAGGGAGGAGGTGGAGGGGAGGGGTCTCACCGAAGAAGCAGTAGACGACTCCAAACAAACAGCACATGATGCAGATGAGGGCTGGCAGTGCCTGGTACCTGCGCTCCAGCGGCTGTTCGCAGGGAGCAGCCCAGAAGGCATCATCCTCGGGCTCGGGGGGCAGCAGCTGGAACCGCAGTGTGGCCACAGTGCCCGGCATAGCGCTGAGAACGGAAGGGGGTCACCCTGCCCGGTCCGCCTGATACAGAGGAAGGAAGTCGCGGTCAGGGAAGGGGGAGAGGAGAGAAGTGGGGGACACCGTGGACAATGGAGTGGCTGTCCATGCGGCTTGGAGGAGCCTCCTGGAAGTGGGGGTGGGTGGGAGGCAGGAGACAAAGAAAAACCAAAGTACCTGGTGGGCGCCGGGAGTCCGGCTGGGGTGAAGAAGTTAAGAGGGGTGCCGGGGTGGGGAGGAGGCCAGGGCCGCGAGCGGCCGCCGGGGAGGAGGCAGCCAGGAGCGAGCGGTCTGTGGGCGGCTCAGTCCGGGATGGTCCCACGATCTACCTGGGCTGGAGGCGACCCGAGCTCCTGAGCGACAGGAGGCCGGGCAGGGGCCGGAGGGGCCGGGGTGGCCGGGCGCCAGAGGTCCCAGCTGCCGGGGGTCCGGGAAAAGTCCCCCGTGAGGGGCAGGGGGCTGCAGGGCCGGAGGGACCGGTCTCCGCCAGGCGACGGCGCCGCCGCTCCGCCGGCAGCAGCGCCCGGCGCTCCAGTCCCGCGGCGTCCGGGCGCTCGGGCTGGGCCTGGGGCCGGGAAAGGCGCAGGAGCAGGGGCTCAGGCTGCCCCGGAGCCGCGGCCCCATGCCCTGAGCCCGCCCGCGGCCTTTGGTGCTGATGGACAGCTCCGGCCTCGGCTCCTGACGTCACTCCGGGCGCAGCATCCCGGCAGGGGCGGGCCGCCTCCGACGTCACCGGGGACGCACCAACCAGGCCGGGGGGAGGCCGGGGACCCCGCCCCGCGGCGCCTCCCCTCCCGCCCTGAGGAGGGGGCACTTCCGGGGGTCCCTCCCTCGCCGGTAGCTGGACGCCGAGACCCCACCCCGGGGAGGCGGGGCCCCCGCAGTGACACGTCGGACCGCGGCCGCCCCAGCCCAGGCGCCCGCGCCGACCCGCCCGGCAGGCAGCCCGAGGAGGCGCGGAGCCCGGCGCGCGCGCGGGGACCTCGCGGCGTGGAGGCAGCGGGCCCGCCCGCCGGCCCCGGCCCTGCGGATCCGCCCCCCTCGCCGGCCCGCCCCCTCGGAGCCGAGTCCCCCCCATCCCTCGGCGGCGCTGGGGCGGCTGGCGGGCGCGGGGCCCGCGGTCCCGGCGCCATGCGGGCATCGCTGCTGCTGTCGGTGCTGCGGCCCGCGGGGCCCGTGGCCGTGGGCATCTCGCTGGGCTTCACCCTGAGCCTGCTCAGCGTCACCTGGGTGGAGGAGCCGTGCGGCCCGGGGCCACCCCAGCCCGGAGATTCGGAGCTGCCCCCGCGCGGCAACACCAACGCGGCGCGCCGGCCCAATTCGGTGCAGCCCGGAGCGGAGCGCGAGAGGCCCGGGGCCGGCGGCGCCGCCGCCGCCGCCGGGGAGAACTGGGAGCCGCGGGTCTTGCCCTACCACCCTGCACAGCCCGGCCAGGCCGCCAAGAAGGCCGTCAGGTAGGGATCGGCCCCGCCAGCCTCAGCCCCACCCCCTTTGGGCCCGGGCCGGGGGTCGGGTGCGCGGGGGAGGCCGCTGCGGGGGGCCGGGTCAGGCTCCGGAAGGAAGCCGGCGAGGAAGTCTTCTCGCCCCGATGACTTCCGATGGCCTTGCTTCCCAGAGGGCTCAGAGCCAGCCCTGGCCCCTGTCTGGACACGGGCCAAGCCTGGGCCGAATTGCTCCCTCCCCCGGGCTGTCCTCAGCCGGTTCCCACCCCTACCCCCAAATCCTCTTAATTCCCCAGCTCAGGGGGAAAAAAAAAAAGACTGATGCAACTGATGTATAGAGTGGGTGCATGGAGAGAGAGGCATGTCCAAGAGAACCGGGATTTAACTCGATCTCCTCCTTCCTGGGAGGGGCCCCTGGGGATGAGATGCAGGTGAGGGTGCCGCGGGGTAGGGTGCCCGTCCCTTTGATGCCTCGCCAAGGAGATGAAATCATTTCACCCCAGGTAACCCTGACTTCAAAACCCAGTGCAGCAGCTTACCTGCTACTCAACTGAAGGCCGAGCGACTGGGAACCCCGTTGCCCCGGTCTGCCCCCTCCCCTCTCCCAAGGGCACCCCATACCTCTTACGTCATGTTTTCCTCCACCTGACTTATGGCTCCGCTGTCGTGGCGTATTTGCATAGAAGTAGACACAGGTGTGCGTGTGGGGCCGCGTGCTTTGGGTAGATCGCCCCGTTCTGAATCAGCTCAGATCTATTCCCTCGTGGTCCCTGGATGCGACTACAGCCCCAGAACACTGCGGAATTAAGACCACTACTCACTTGAAGGCTCAGGGGGAGGATATGACCGGTCCTCGCCGCTCACTTGTGTGTCGTCTCTCCCCCAGGGGCATGGAGTCTTTTGATAACCTTGTGCCATGTTCTACTCCAGGACCCGCTACATCAGCACGGAGCTGGGCATCAGGCAGAAGCTGCTGGTGGCCGTGCTGACCTCCCAGGCCACTTTGCCTACGCTGGGCGTGGCCGTGAACCGCACCCTGGGGCACCGGCTGGAACGTGTGGTCTTCCTGACGGGAGCCAGGAGTCGCCGGGCACCTCCGGGCATGGCCGTGGTCACCCTAGGCGAGGAGCGACCCATCGGGCACCTGCACCTGGCCTTGCGCCACCTGCTGGAGCAGCACGGGGACGACTTTGACTGGTTCTTCCTGGTCCCCGACGCCACCTACACCGAGGCCCACGGACTGGCGCGCCTCGTGGGCCACCTCAGCCTGGCCACCGCGGCCCACCTCTACCTGGGCCGCCCCCAGGACTTCATCGGGGGAGAGCCCGCCCCCGGCCGCTACTGCCACGGAGGCTTCGGGGTGCTGCTGTCCCGCGCGCTGCTCCAGCAGTTGCGCCCCCACCTGGAAAGCTGCCGCAACGACATCATCAGCGCGCGCCCCGACGAGTGGCTGGGCCGCTGCATCCTGGATGCCACCGGGGTGGGTTGCACCGACCGTCACGAGGTAAGACGTGAAGGCAGCCCTGCTGGTGAGCCTGTCCCAGCGCGTGCGCTTTCCCTGCAGACAAGGCCGTGGTGGGGGAGATAAAGGTTCCCCGGGCCTTTCCGGATACATTCTCTCAGTGCTATCACATTGTGTCCTCGTGACCGCCGATAAGGAACTGAAGTCTGCCGAGCTTCACCACACCCATGGCACTAACTCTTGTTCAGGCTTGTGGAAAGGAGGAGAGAAAAATCAAGGCACACAGTAGGCATTCCGTGTTGGCTGTTTTATTCAGATGCAAGCCCGTTTTGCAGAATCACCCAGGGCCACACACACGGGCCCCCAGCTGATCAAGGGACACTTAAAACCTCCGAATTCAGACTCCAGATCCACAGCAGATGGGGGGAGGGGAGGGGGAGACTGTCCATCAGCCTTCATACCTTGGCTCCCTCCCCTTCCCTTCTCGCCCCAGGGGGTACAGTACAGCTATCTGGAGCTGAGTCCTGGCGAGCCCGTGCAGGAGCGGGACCCTCGTTTCCGCAGCGCCCTGAGTGCCCACCCGGTGCGGGACCCCGTGCACATGTACCAGCTGCACAAGGCGTTTGCTCGCGCGGAGCTGGAACGCACATACCAGGAGATCCAGGAGCTGCAGGTATGGTCAGGCCACGGGTGGTCTCAGAGACCCCAAGAGAGGCTGGAGAGAGTACAATGGGTATTGCGCTTGCCCTGCATTTAGCTGACCTGGGGTGGGGGTGTCAATCCTCAGCCTCCCATATGGTCCTCCAAGCCCCATCAGGAGTGATCCCTGAGGCCCAGAGAGATAATACAATGGGTTAAGGACTTGCCTTGCATGCAGCTAACCCAGGTTAGACCCCTGGCACCTCCTAGGGTCCCCCAAGCCCGCCAGAAGTGATGCCTGAGTGCAAAGCCAGTGGTAAGCCCTGAGAAAAGCCAGTTGTAGCCCCCCTCCACCCAACAAATCAAAAACAAAACAAAAGGCCAGGAGTGATTCCCAGTTGCAGGAGTAAGCCTGAGCACCCCCAGCTGTGGCCCAAAAAGAAAAAAGGAGAGACCCCAGTAAATAATGAACTCAAGAATTACAAAGCAAAGCTGCTTGCCATTCCCATCTTTTCTGAAAAAAAGTTTCCACCTAAAAGTTTCTACCTTTTCTGAAGAGCCCCGTTCTGGAAACCTCCCTCCCCTTTTTGTAATTCTCAGATGGCCACCATCTAGAGAAAGGAAAAGTGGAGACCTACGGTGGGCAGGGAAATGGGACCCCCCCCACACACACACACACACCATCACCACCACCATGGTCTATGCCTTGCTCACAGCTATTTCTCCATTGCAGTGGGAGATTCAGAACACGAGCCGCCTGGCCGCCGATGGGGATCGGGCAGCTGCCTGGCCAGTGGGCATCCCCGCCCCGTCACGCCCTGCCTCCCGCTTCGAGGTGCTGCGCTGGGACTATTTCACCGAGCAGCACGCATTCTCCTGCGCGGACGGCTCGCCCCGCTGCCCCCTCCGGGGGGCCGACCGCGCCGACGTGGCGGACGTCCTGGGGGCCGCCCTGGAAGAGCTCAACCGCCGCTACCACCCAGCTCTGCGGCTCCAGAAGCAGCAGCTGGTGAACGGCTACCGCCGCTTTGACCCGGCACGGGGCATGGAGTACACGCTGGACTTGCAGCTGGAGGCGCTGACCCCCCAGGGCGGCCGGCAGCCCCTCACACGCCGGGTGCAGCTGCTCCGGCCACTGAGCCGCGTGGAGATCTTGCCGGTACCCTATGTCACCGAAGCATCCCGTCTCACCGTGTTGCTGCCTCTGGCCGCCTCGGAGCGTGACCTGGCGCCGGGCTTCCTGGAGGCCTTCGCCACGGCCGCCCTGGAGCCCGGGGATGCGGCGGCCGCGCTGACCCTCCTGCTGCTGTACGAGCCCCGGCAGGCCCAGCGCGCCGCGCACGCCGACGTCTTTGCCCCGGTCAAGGCCCACGTGGCAGAGCTAGAGCGGCGCTTCCCGGGCGCCCGGGTGCCCTGGCTCAGCGTGCAGAGCGCCGCGCCCTCCCCACTGCGCCTCATGGATCTGCTCTCCAAAAAGCACCCGCTGGACACACTCTTCCTGCTGGCCGGGCCGGACACGGTGCTCACGCCCGAGTTCCTCAACCGCTGCCGCATGCACGCCATCGCGGGCTGGCAGGCCTTCTTCCCCATGCACTTCCAGGCCTTCCACCCGGCCGTGGCCCCGCCGCAGGGCCCCGGGCCCCCAGAGCTGGGCCGAGACACCGGCCGCTTCGACCGGCAGGCCTCCACGGAGGCCTGCTTCTACAATTCCGACTACGTGGCGGCCCGCGGGCGACTGGCCGCCGCCCCGGAGCAGGAGGAGGAGCTGCTGGAGGGCCTGGACGTGTACGAGCTGTTCCTGCGCTTCTCGGGCCTGCACGTGCTGCGCGCTGTGGAGCCGGCCCTGCTGCAGCGCTACCGGGCGCCCGCGTGCAGCGCGCGGCTCAGCGAGGACCTGTATCACCGCTGCCGCCAGAGCGCGCTCGAGGGCCTGGGCTCACGCACGCAGCTGGCCATGCTGCTCTTCGAGCAGGAGCAGGGCAACAGCACCTGAGCCCGCTCCGCTCCGGGGTCCAGCTCCTGGCGCCCAGGCTCCGCCCCTGGCTCCGGGCCCCGCCCCTCGCGTCCAGGCTCCGCCCCCTGGCGCCCAGGCCTGCTCCCGGTGCCTAGGCTCCGCCCTCGGCACCCAGGCTCCGCCCTCAGGGCCCGGGCCCCGCCCATGGCGCCCAGGCCCCAATGCCTAGGCTCCGCCCCCGGCGCCCAGGCCCCACCCCCGCGCCCTGGCCCACCTGTCAGCCTCGTGGGACAGGGCTGGCGGCTCCTCTCCCTGGCTTCTGTGGGCCCTGAGGATGCGTCCCCATCACCTCTCCTGGCCCTCCCCCAATCCTGCTCCCTTGCCCCCCCCTGACGCTGCTGATTCAGGCTGTGGCTGAGTATTTATGCCCGACGCCAGCCTGCCTCCGAGGGTCGGGAGCCCGGGCTGTAGATGAGTTTGTTGGAGATGGGGTGGCTGAGAGAGGGAGTGGGATGGGGTGGGGGTGTCCTCCCAGCATCGCCCTCCCCGACGCTCCCGACGAAGCCCCCCGCCTCGAATAAACCGGCTGAGTGTGGACTAGTGATCTGAGTTGCAAGTTTGCTGCTGCCAGCGAGAAGCTGGCTGGCGCGGGAGGGGGCTGGGCTCTGTTCCCTACGCCCCCCCCTCTCCCCTACACCCCCATCCCCAACCCCCGGGTTCAAGCCAGGCCTCCGGCCCCGGCCCTTGCTCGGCTGGCCACACTCACACAGAGAATTCTTTATGCCTCTTTATTCCCTACTCTGGCAGCGACTCTAACGCCCCGAGGCCCGCCTCCCCCACCCCCAGGTTCAGCCGAGGTCTGACCCACCCACAGGCCTGCTCCCCGGAATGGGACTCGAGGCCAGGAGGGTGGCTACCAGGGGCTTTGGGAGCTGGGCCAGGCCTGCTGGGCCCCCCACGCCCCCTGCCCAAAGGGGAACTGGGCCTGGAGAGGGGCAGGGAGCAGAACCCACCCAGCGACCCTGGGGCACCCCTCTCCTGCTCCCAATGGAGTCCTGGCTCTGCCTGAAGACCCCCACACACAGACACCATAGTCCCACCCACCTTCTATGTCTGCACCCCACCCTCACCCCGTGCTCCCCAATATATATATACAAATGTACAGAGACCTCGCCTGGCTGGGTGGGCTTTGCCCCTCCCCCTCTCCACGCCCCCTACCCAATGGGGCTCAGACTCCAGCTTGGGTGCAAGAATGTGAGAAGGGGCTCCCCGTGCAGGGGATCCTGAGAGCTGGAGTAGGGGGAGACTTGGGGGGTCCAGGGAGGGCCTCTCGGATGTAGCACCGTCCTAGCAGGCGAAGTCCTCAAAGAGGCCCCCCGGGGGCCCGTGCGGGTGGTGGTGGTTGGGGAGCAGGCCGCTGGCGCCCCCTCCTTCCGCTCGGCCCCGGCTGGGACAGGGACTCTGCAAGGTCAGGAAGCAGCATTTAAGTGACCCCCACCCCCCACCCTCCGCCACTGTGAACCTCCCTGTGGGTCCCACCCCCAGCCCTCCCTCCTGTCCCCAAAACAGGCTCTTGGAAACCAGGAACCCCAGCTGCGGGGCAGAACAGAAAAGAAGGTGATTCAGGGCCGGAGCCATAGCACATTGGGGAGGGTGTTTGCCTTGCATGTGACCGACCCGGGTTCGATTCCCAGCATCCCATATGGTCCCCTGAGCATCGCCCGGTGTGACCCAAAAAGCAAAAAAAAAGAAGGTGGCTCAGTCACACCTGATCCTTTAGCTCCTGAAGCCCCAGAGTGGAGATGCCCCCAGTGGACGTCCGCAGGGGGGTCTTGGGGCGCCGCCAGGCCCGCTTGAGTCGATCCCAGGACACCTGGGGGTTTGGGAAAGGTGGGTGAGAAAGGCGGGCTTGACAGAGCAATCTTGGGGGAGGTCCTGCTGGCCCCGCCCGCCCACTACCCCTCCCCCCTCCCCGCACTCCTCAGACCTTGCATACTGCTGGGGTCCCTGGACACCCTCTGGCTCCGAGCCGAGCCTCCACCCTCCGCCCTGGTCTGGGCCACCCCCTCCCCACCCCAAGTCAGCCCCTTGCCTCATAGATATAGTCCAGGATCTCCAGCAGGGTGAGGAAGCTGGCCCCGATGAACAGGCCCATCTGCCCACCGAGGTCTCCTGGGGAGCACACGAGCAGGTCAGGGGGAGACGGCCAGCTGGTACCCTCACACACACACCCCAGGGCCAGCCCGGGACGGGCCTCACCCAGCAGGGCCGAGAGGCCATAGGCTGCCCGCTGCTCCAGGGCCTCTGAAGTCAGAGCTTCAAAAAAGATGTCCAGGACCAGGAAGTTCTCCCTGCAGACACAGGAACGGGGGCCACTGTGTGGGGCCGCCTGCCCAAGGGGGAAGCTGACAGCGGGGGGAACATCCCAGACCCCACCCATCCCGCACTGGCGTCCCCCTCACATGTCCCACTGCCCCCGGCTTCCCATCCAAGGGTGAGCGAGTGTCCGTCTGCCTCTCCATGGCAGCCCCGACGGCTCACTCCAGCTCCTTCAGGGCTGCCCGTTTCCCACTGTCCACACCCAGGTTCCTCTTCCGGACTTCGGAATCTGCCCCAGACCCTCACCCTGCAGCCACCTTCCTCGGGGACTGTCGGCTTTGCCGCTACAATATCCCGCGGCTCTCCCTAGGGTGCTCCTTTCTCCCATCCCAACCACCCCAACACGGAGCCCCCCACCCAGGCCCTGCTCAAATCTCCCCAGGCCTGTGCAGGCACCCAGGTTCATGCACACACTGGGATGTGGGTTTCGTGTCCCCTCATGATGGCCCCACCCAGCAGATGCCTGGCCTCGGTCAGTGGGCAGCCCGGCTCCAGCCCCAGGGCCCGTGTCACCTGCCCTGTGGCCACACTGCGGTTCACCTTCCGCCTTGCTCTTGCTTTCCTCCCCATCAGTCCCTCAGTTACCTGACCGCGTGGACGCCACCACCCCCCCCCATGGCCAAAGGAAAGGGCACATCAGCAGAGGGGTCTACACAATGTGCAAGGGTGGGCCAGAGCTTCCTGTGGGAGCTCCACAGCCTGACTCAGCCCAGAGGTGCCTGAAGGACAGGTGGGGGGGGGCGGTCAGCAGTGGACAACGGTGACGGCATTTCCCAGTGGAAGAATCAGACTAAGTGCCATGCAGAGCGCACCCAGCCTCCAGCAGGCTCGTGGAAGGTGGCCTTCATCTCATACCCACATCGCGCCACGCACACATCACCACACACCACACATCACAAACACCACACACCACATACACCACACACACCACGCATATTCCTACCACAAATACCACGCACATGTGCCCCACACCATATATACCACACACCACACATATCATACGCTGCATATCCCACACCTATCACATGCCACACACCCCACATTTTCTACATGTACCGGCACATACCACATTACCACACGTGCCACATGTAATACACACCACATATCACACATAACCACACATTCTACATATACCACACATCACATATACCACACACCACATAGATCACACAAGTGTATTGTATACTTAACAAGTCTCACAATGTTACTGGGCCCACTCGAGCAAATCGATGAACAACGGGAGGACAGTGACAGTGACTTAAGTATAAAACACGTATCCAGGGGCGGGAGCGATAGCACAGCGGGTAGGGGCATTTGCCTTGCACGCGGCCGACCCGGGTTCGATCCCCAGCATCCCATATGGTCCCCCAAGCACCGCCAGGAGTAATTCCTGAGTGCAAAGCCAGGAGTAACCCCTGAGCATTGCTGGGTGTGACCCCCCCCAAAAAAAAGAAAAATAAATAAATAAATAAATTGGCTTCTTTTAAAAATAAATAAATAAAACACGCATCCAAACACATACCTTATGTAGGTCTCATTGCGGTTGTACTTCCTTGCCAGGTAGCGTGCAGAGCCCCTGTTAGGGATCTTGACCATGGAGATTTCTTTCCCATAGCGGGTCAGGTTACAAGGGGTGGGGCAGAAACATGGCCCCCCAGAGCCTCCGCCCAAGGAGTCTGCAACCCAGAGGCACCAGCTGCAGCTGTGAGGAGGGGGGGCAGGGGGTGGGGAGGGTCCCCCCCTGCTGCAACACCCCACCCCAGTGTTGTCTGCAGGAGACTGGCTGGGGCCCCCCAAGGTTTATCCCTCTGCCCCTGACCCCCCGAGGCAGGGAGGTTCTCTGAGGGAGGGCACTGATGACCCACTAGAGCTAACAGAGCCCACCTGGGGACTCGGAGAGGCTGTCAGGAATGGGTGGCTTGTGAGTGAGCGGATGGTCGGAGGGACAACCAGAAGAACAAATTCACAGGCAGGATTTACCTGCTCAGGATGCTGGGTTTTCTCTGCTCACAGGCCTCTCAGGTACACATGCACACGCACGAACACACACACACATAGAGACGCGTGCACGCACGCATGTGTTTCGCCCTCTGACTTTTTGACCTTTAGGTGCTGTAGATGTGCCTTCTGGTTCCAGCCACCGTCTCTACCTTCCCCCTCCAGACCTGGGGGAGGGAAAACTCCTGGATGTCCCTGGCGTCTCCCCATCCCATGTGGCTCCCCAAGACCTACACACACACACACACACACACACACACACATACACACACCTGTTTCTTTGTTCTTTGTTTGTTTGTTTGGAAGCCACGCTGGCGATGTCCAGGCGTTACTTCTGACTCTTTGCTCAGGAATTACTCCTGGCAGTGCTCAGGAGACCACATGGAATACCGGGGGAATCGAACCCGGGTCAGGTACATGCAAGGCACATCTTACTGTGCTATTGCTCCAGCCCCATCTTTTTTCTCTTTTTGCAGGGTGAGTTTAAGCCCATACCGAGCGGTGCTCGGGAGTCTTTCCTTGCAGAGCTCAGGGCATCCTCTGAGGTAGGTACTAGGAATCAAACTGGGGTTGGCTGTGGGCAAGACAAGCATTTAACCCTCTGCCCTGTCCCTCCAGCCCCACATTCACCTGTTTCTTCTCTAAATACCTTCGGCGCCACTGGGTTTGGACCAAGGTGCTCCATCCTAGGGCTCCCAGAACTCAGAGTTCTCCCCAGCCTCCGTGTCCTCTTAGATGGTAAGACGCTTGTTACCTTCACCCTGTCTCATGCTTCACCTGTCTCAGCAGCGCCCCCTACTGACTCATCAGCGCCCCCTGCTGGTCTGGCCACAACAGCTGCTGACTTGATCCAGTCACAGCTGGGAACCTGACCCGCTCCTCCCCTGGCTGACTGCTCCGCCTCCTTCAAGTCTCACCTAGGGGTAGAAAAGACTCCTGCTTGTCTCTGGCATCTCCCCATCCCATGTGGCTCCCCAAGGCTTACATATACACCTGTTTCTTTTTTCCTTTTTTTTTTTTTTTGCTTTTTGGGTCACACCCGGCTATGCTTGGGGGTTACTCCTTGGTCATGCACTCAGGAATTACTCCTGGCGGTGCTCCGGGGACCATATGGGATGCTGGGACTCGAACCTGTGTTGGCCATGTTGGCTGCGTGCAAGGCAAACACCCTACCCGCTGTGCTATCGCTCCAGCCCCTCTTTTTTCCTTTTGTTTGTGTTTTGGGTCACACCCGACGATGCTCAGGGACTACTTCCAGCTCTTCACTCAGGAATTACTCCTGGAGGTGCTCGGGGAACCAGATGGGATGGCGAAGAATCGAACCCGGGTCGGCCCCCTTCAAGTCTCAGCTTTTTCTTCCCCGTCCACTTCAACCCTCTGCACCTTCCCAGGTGGCACGGCCATGTAGCCTTGTCCAGAGCTCTAAACTGTGGACGAGCCTGTCCACAGCACGGCCTGTGCATCCTCTCCGCGAGAGCAGGGACTCTCACCGTCCACCAGCACAGGCTGTAGGCACCCAAAGAGTGGGTGGGTAAAACCGAGTGAACCAATGACTGAGTGAATGCCTGCCTGCCTGCCTGCCTGCCTGCCTGCCTGCATACACGAGTATGAATGAACAAACGAGTAGACTGAGTAAATGAATGCATGAGTAGATGAATGAACAAATGACTGAATGAATGCATGCGCGAAAGGATGAGTAGATGAATGAGCAAATGCAGATGGGGCAAAAACCCCTGAGGCTGACTGCGCCCCCACTGACAGCCAGCAGCGTACATTTCCTCTCCTCACCTCCTCCGGGAAGATACGGCGCTTGGCTGCAGAGCAGAACTCACTCGCTAAACTGAGAAGCCCAGGCTCTCCCCCTTCTCGAGTTCTGAGTTCTCTGTATTCCCGCCCCGCTATCTCCACTTACCCAAGTGTCCCCACCTACAGAGGTCCTCAGACCCCTCCCCAGAGGTAGGGGATAAGGCTCCAGCCTTGGAATGCCCCCAGGGAATAGCTTGGAAGCGGAAAGGGCCCCAGGGGGACAAAGGGATGATGTGGAAGGTTGGGAGACGGGAAAGGAGACAAGTGACACCCACCCAGTGCGTGGTCCGCACACTCAATGTAGATGTTGGGCGGGCAGATGGTCTCGTTGCCTGAAAGGAGAAAAGATTCTTTCCAGCGCTCGGCGGCTCCTTTCCCCACCGTCCCCAAGGTGGTGCCCACCTGCCTGCACACGGGGAGGCTCCCAGAGGTACCCCAGGCCCATGCAAGCGCACATGGGAACACCACCACACACCTGCAGCTACGAAGGAAAGCATACACGTGTGTAGAAGCGCGCAGACACGCACGCGCAACTGCGTGCCTGTGTTTGTGCTCCTGCACGCGACTCCCCCAGGTGTACTTACGAGTGTAACTGCGGAGGGTATTGGGGAGCGGGAAGGGGGGGGGGGAACCAACTGCGCACGCGCATGCGCACACCGACGCTCACCGGGAGAGCAACGCAGCACGTGGCTGGTTGGGACCCCTCGCCGCAGGGTGCCCACCTGGCATGTGCACCATCCGGCAGTGGCAACGCTGCAGCACGGCCTCCTTCTCACAGCGCAGCCGGCAGGCAGACACGCTGTAGGCCGAGTAGCCCTGAAGCTCGGGCTCCCGTTGCCCGTTCTCTGCCCGGCAGTTGCCCCAGGGCTGGGGCAGGTAGGTCAGCTAGAGAGGGGGTGCAGAGGTTGGGGTCACGCCCAGGAGCCCCGTCAGCCCCCTAGGTCTGTGGGAGAGCTGGATGGAAGGGGCTGTGGAGCTGGGGGTGGGGAGAGGGACGCTTCGCTAGGACACCGCCCCGCCCCCCACCGTGCCCAGTGCTAGGGGCTGCTGACCCGCTGCTCCTGGCAGGACACGAAGGTCTGGAAGCCTGGGGACACGCCGAAGCCCAGCTGGTGGATGTAGGGGGGCTCCTCCTGACTGTGGATCTGCACCCGGATGCCGGCCTCAAACGACGTCTCATCTGCAAAGCGGGAGGCGGACGGTGGACACCCAGGCCAGGTCGCACGCGGGGCCCTGCCTCCCCCACCCCACCCGCCTACTTGTCTCTCTCCAGATGGGCAGGTACTCCTCCTGCTGGATGTCCAGCATGATCTCCAGGCCACTACCCATGCCCCCCGCACGGCTGGGCAGCGAGCTCTGCGGGTCCGCATTGAAGGTGTAGCACTTCCCGTAGCGAGTGTAGACCTGGAGAGGCGGGAGGGGGGGATGGAAGGAGGGACTAGAACAACTCCTTGAGGTTTTGGGTTCCCTCTCCACTCCCCCCACCGCACACACACACCAAGGGCCACCAGACCTGCCCCGACAGCCTGCGCCATTTACAAGGTTTCTCCCAGATTCCATGTTTTCTACTTATTAAAAGACACCTCCAGGGGCTGAAGCGTTAGCACAGTGGGTAGGGTGTTTGCCTTGCACACAGTCGACCCCGGTTCAATTCCCAGCATCCCATATGGTCTCCCGAGCACTGCCAGGAGTAATTCCTGAGTGAAGAGCCAGGAGTAACAACTGTGCATCGCCGGGTGTGACCCAAAAAGAAAAAAAGAAAAAGACACTTCCAGGACCTGGAGTGACAGTACAGCAACTAAGGAACACTACAACAGCTGACTTGTGTTTGATCCCTGGCACCACATATGCTCTCCCAACCACTGTCAGGAGTGACCCCCGGAGAACCAACACACACACACACACACACACACACACACACACACACACACACACACACCAGGCACCTCCAGGGCCAGAGATTTGAACCAGCTATGCATCTGGAGGACCCGGTTCTATCCCTTGTATCACCTGGTTCTTCAAGCACTGCCAGAAGTGACCCCTTAACAGTGAGTCTGGACTCACCCCTGAGGACCTCCATGTATGGCCCCTTAACCAAACAACAAAAGTATTCTCCATTTCTTTAAATCAATGAACGTTAAGCAGAGCGGCATCTTGAACTCCCGAGAAACCTCAATGAGCTTGGTTATCGTGTGGATATGGTCGATGGTGCTGAATCCTTTGCGGAACCCTGCTTGCTCACATGGTTGTCCTTCATCTAGTGTTCTGCCAATCCTATTCAGGATGACTCGAGTGAACAACTTGTAGATGACAGACAATAGGCAGATCGGGCGATAGTTGCCAATGTCATGGATGTCTCCCTTCTTGAACAGTAGTACGGTCCTGCTGGTTTTCCATTGAGATGGAACCTTGCATTCAGACAGGTAGCGAGTGAAGAGCCGAGCCAGTGTATTGATGAGTACTTCAGGTGTTCAGGTTCTTCAGGTGTTCAGGTCTGACCTTGTCTGGGCCGGGTGCTGTTTGCTTCTTTACTGACGGCCTTTGATTCTGTTGAGACGGAAGCGGTCATTGAAGCCCTAGCCAATCAGGGCATTCAAGCCCAATACATCAGGATCCTCCGTGAGCTGTATTGCCGATTCACTACCAGGATCTCACCATTCTACAAAGAAGTGATCGTTGATGTCAAGAGAGGGGTGCGGCAGGGTGATACCATTTCACCAAAACTCTTCAGTGCCACCCTCGAGAACATCATGCGACGACTGGAATGGGAAGGAATGGGAGTGAAGATAGATGGTCGGCAACTACACCACCTCCGCTTTGCTGATGACATTGTTTTAATAACACCAAACATCAGCCAAGCGGCACAAATGCTGGCCGACTTTGACCGTGAGTGTGGAAAGGTAGGACTACAGCTGAATCTTACGAAGACAATGTTTATGAGAAACAGCCTTGTTCCTGACGCCCCATTCGCTCTCAATGGAACGACCATCTCCGAATGCAACAGCTATGTGTACCTAGGTCGAGAGGTCAACATGAGAAATGACCTGGCACCCGAGCTGCGCAGGAGGAAGAGAGCGACTTGGAACGCCTTCAAGAACGTCGAAGAAATAGCTAAGAGGACGAAGAACCTCCGGCTCCGGGCACATCTCTTTGATTCCACTGTTCTTCCTGCATTAACATATGCCTCAGAGACCTGGGCCCTACGCAAACAAGATGAGAACGCCATTCAGGTCTCCCAAAGAAGAATAGAAAGAGCTATGCTTGGAATATCACGTTTCACTCAAATGAGAGAACGAATCCGGAGTTCTGATATCCGTCGACGATCAAGGATCAGGGACGCTGTCTCATTTGCCAAGGTGTCGAAAATCAGATGGGCTGGTCACGTAATGAGATTTAAAGACGACCGTTGGACTAGAGCTGTTACTGATTGGATTCCACGGGATGTCAAGAGACCGCGTGGCCGCCCACCTACCAGATGGTCAGACTTCTTTGTCAAGATCATGAACGATCGGTTTGAGGCCCTCCATGTTCCCGGAGCGAAGAGATGCCATTGGGCTACACTAGCACGCGACAGGGACAAATGGAGACGTTACTGGCGCCCGCTCGAGCAAATCGACGACTAACGGGAAGTTAAGTGATTAAGTTAAGTGATTCTCCATTTCACCACAGCAATTGCTGAACTCTTGATACCTTCCCAAATCCCATCCCACCCAGGGCCCCTCTGAATAAGGAAACCTCAATGTCTCCCATCTGTCCCCCAAATTTCCTTCTGCCTCACCCTTCCATTCAACCCAGCCAGCGCTATCTATCCCCAAAATCTATTTATGTGTTTTTTTTCTTTGACTTTCTTTTTCTCCTTTTTCTTGATTTTTGGACCATGCCCAGCAGTGCTCACGGACCACTCCTCGCGGGACTTGGGGGATCCTATGGATTGGTCCAGGGATTGAACCCAGATCAGCTGTGTACAAAGCAAGCACCCTACCCACTGTCCTAGCACGCCAATCCTTCAGATCTATCTAGAGTCCAGTTTAGAATCTACTCCCCTTTCCCTCGAATCTCAGACCTCAACCCCTTTCAACTGGCAGGTTCCACCTGGCCTTGGCAGCAGGCGCCTTATGATGGTCTTGCCTCATTTCCGGCCTCTCCCTCCCGGCCATGCCCACACACGGCTACAGCGTGGGGATTGGACGAGTCTCTGGCCAGTTTATTTCCCAGAGACTCAAGCCAAAAGCCTCTCCCCCAGTCGAAAGGTATCTAGGGACCTAGATACCTTACCCTTCCATCCCCAACACTGGGGACAAATCCAAACTTGGGGATCTGCCTTCCTACTAGGTTCATGAGACTTCCTCCCCTGGAATGCACCCCCCCCCACACACACACACATACAATGGTTAACTGCTTTTATTAGGGAGTGCGGGGTGGGTCATACCGAGCGGGGGGGGGGGGGGGGGGGGGGGCTATTTCTGGCTCTGTGCTCAGGAGCGACCCCTGGCGGTGCTCGGTGGAACAACCGGGGTTGCAGCCTCTCCAAAGCGCGCGGGACAAGAGTTGCTTTCTTTCACCTCTCTCGGGGTGCTAATTGCCTTTTATACGGGCTCCTCCTATAGATGCAACTCAAAACACACAATCGCACTATCACCCTCGAGGTGTGTGTGTGCGGGGAGGGGGGAGCATCTCGCGCTGGCCGCTGCACTCAGAGTCCAGAGCAAGCTCTGCGATTATCTTATTCATCGATCGCCTTTGCTCGACGCCCATCGCTCCCAGCCTCTGTAGAGTGGACGCTGGGTTTAGAAGCAGGGCTCCTGTTTCGTGTCCCCAGCCTCCGGCCGGGTGCCCAGCACCCTGATTCCTGCGGCACCAAGCCCCTCTCCCTTTAACCTCTGCGGCGGAGTTCTCCGAAATGGTCAGCAGATGGCGCTGGAGCCCCGGAGATGCTCCGGAGACTCCCGCGGGCTGGAGCAGGTGGGGAGGGATGGAGAGAGGGAGGGAGGGATGGAGGGAGGGGCGGAGGCAAGCCTCCCCCTCCTGCGAGGCTCACCCCACAGAGACCAGCCCCTGGGTCAAATCCATCACAGGCAGCACCTTCCCTGCGGGCAGGGGGTCGCGCACTCAATCACTCTCTCCAGCTCTCCCGCCCCTCTGCTGGGGAACGTTTTCACACTGGTTACAGCCTCAGGAAAGGCAGGAAGCCAGCCTGTCAGAGGGAGAGGGGGGTGGGCAGCTACCCAGGGCTGGGCAGAAGGGATGGCGGGAGCTCAGAGTTGTAGGAACTGGGGGGGGGGGGGGGGGGTGGCAGTGATACGGGTGGGGTCGAGAGGGTTGTGGCCCCTTGGACTTGGACTTCCCATCCCTGAGGGTCTTCGACCACCTTTGCCTTGGACCCCACCAACAAAAACACAAACATCCCAAGCACCCAAGGGCTTATAAGCAACGGCCACTTCCTGCTGGGCTCTGGGGTCTGGTGGGTCTCAGGAGCTGGGCTGCTACAGATGAACTCACTGCAGCTCAGAGTGTGAACACAGGACCACAGGTCACCGATGGGGTAGGTGGCACTCACGGGGACAGAACCTCAGCTGTCCCCACGTGTCCCCAGGTGGCCAGAGACAGCTCCTCCCTCATCCCCCAGTCTCTTAATCTTCATCCTCCTCCTCCTCCTCCTCCTCCTCCTCTGAACCCTCTCCAGCTACTGAGGGCCAGACCTCTTTGGTTTTTTGCTTTTGTTTGGGGGCCACAACCGGGGCTTGGGGACCATACGGAATGCAGGGGATCGAACCTGCATAGGCCAGGACTGGATCCTTACCCTCTCTGTGTGGTTTGGGCAGGTGTGGGCATTTCTGAACCTTCCAAAGCTCTTCATTCTTTGTTTTGTTATTTTTTCTTTGGGGTCACACCCGGCGATGCTCAGGGGTTACTCCTGGCTCTGCACTCAGGAATCACTCCTGGCGGTGCTTGGGGGACCATATGGGATGCTGGGAATCGAACCTGGGTCAGCCGTGTGCAAGGCAAACACCCTACCCGCTGTGCTATCGCTTTTCCCTCAAGCCCTTCATTCTGTCCATGCAAGCCCTGAGCCTAGGGCTTCGCGGGGTCTCGGCAGTCATCCCTACCCCCACCCCCTCCTATAGACGAGGTAACCGAGAGGGGGGGGCCGTATCCCAGGATCCCATGCTGGTCCTTCTCAGACTTGACTGCACAACAGATACTTGGAGTTTGTTCACCTGCAGATTCAGGATCAGGAGCTATTTGAGGGGAGGGCGAGCATCCCTCTGAGTTCCGCAAGCCTAACAGCCTTCTGGTCCCTGGGCCGAGATAAGGGCATGAAACCTTGGGCCCTTGCTCAGGTAACAGGCCCCTGAAAAAAGAGGAACCTAAAGGGATAAAATTCTGGGGTTTGGGGGGCCGGA